TTAGAGGATTGTGGGAGAATCCTGCATAAAGGTGGAATCCTAAAGATTAGGGGTCACATCCTTAAACAAAACAGAACATAAGCGGATGTCGAAGACTCATCCTGTCTTGGACTTGCTCTAAGTAAAGCAAGAAAAAAAATTCTACACTGCCAGTTTCTAACAATTAATACAAGCCTGCACATACACATCTGGAGACTATATTTACCCTACTGCTGTTGTCCAAAAACCCTCATGCTCAAAATTTAGTTTCAAGTGGTTCCATGTTGGTGGTTCACCTAGGCATCTGGTAGAAGCAATCACAAATCCTCTCAGAAGGAATATACTGTAAACCTAGGGCTTGAAAACTTCAGTTAGTCCTAAGCATCCACGAGGACTGCATCTGCAGATTCCGGTATCTATTTGTGGTTGGTTGAATCCACAGAGGTGGAACCCATGGAGACAGACGGCTGACTAAGAGACTTGAGTGCCTGCAGATTTTGGTATCCATGGGGGTCATGGAACTAATTTCCCATGGATAATGAAGGATGACTGTACTGACAAAATTCCAAGTTAGATGAGTTCACAATCATAAATTACTAAATATAAGGGACAAGGCATGATAAATTAGTGTCAAAGGAAATGCCAAACGAAAGAATTGGAGTTGCAAAGATTTTAGCTATTGGAGTTAGATATATAAACCATGTATGGAAGAGTAAAATAAATGAAAAATAGAACTAAACGTATGTTGAAGAAAAAAGAAACTGTGAAAGAAGAAAATGTGAAAACACATCAAATAATATTTCTACAACCAGAAAAAAGAAAATGGCAGAGAATTTTCCAGAACTGATAAAAAGAACCAATCTCAGATTCAGGAAACCCAATAAATCTCTGTCAGGACAAATAAAAAGAAATACTCACTTAGCAATGTTTTCCTAAACAGGAAAGCAAGATGTTGAAAGCAGTAAGAAAGAAAAGAAAAATTACGTACAAAGGAATAAATATTAGACTAAATGTTGACTTCTCAAAAGTCAGAAGACTATAGGATGATAGCTTTATGATTCCAAAATGAGAGTACTTGATAGTTTTACGCCCCTAAATTTTTATACCCAGAAAAACAATCTTCTAAGAACAATAGCAAAACAAAGAAATTTTCAGGAGCTGTGGCTATTGGTTAAAGGTTATTGCCAGCCTATGGAAACCCCAAATAAAATATCTAGAGAAATAAATATCTCAACTTCACTTTCTTCCTTTCCTCATTGTATTATCTAACCAGAAGACAGAGACTAAGGGAGTTCTTTTCAGTTTAAAGAAAAATAAACAAAAACCCCAAAGCCTCCAGGGGCTCTGAGGAGAACAAAATTGAAGGTATCCAAAATAATACCCCCAACCAATTTTATAAATCAAGAATCACATTGATCTCAGATAAGGACCAAACAAGAAAGTAGATTACATGTTATCACTCATGAGCACAGATACAAAAAAAAAATGCTAAACAAAAAACCAGTAAACTGAGCTCAGCAATGTATAATACAGGTAATAGTATGATCCCGATTGAGATCATTCTGGGAATACAAGAATGGCTCAGAATGAGAAAATTTGTTAATTTAATTGACCAAAGCAGCATATTAAAGGGGAACGAAACCTCACATGATCATAGCATTTGATAAAAACAACTGATTGTGATAAAGTCTTAGTCAACTAGGAATAGAGGATACATTCTTAATATTATAAAGACAGCCATAAAATGTCTACAGCAAAATTGTATCAATGCAAATGTTAAAAACATTCCATTTAAAATAACAAGTCAAAGATGATTACTACCATAATCATTATTCAGCATTGTACTGAAAATCCTAGTCTGTGCACTAAATTTTTAAAAAATAAAAAGTGTACAAATTAGAAAGAAACTATCATAATTCACATGACTGATTACCTAACAAAGAAAATTCAGAAGACTCCACAATCCAATTATGAGAATAAAAGTTTTGCAAGATTGACAGAATATAAATGTATAAAATGTAAACTGTCTTACTATACAGCAGCATTAGTTCGAAAACACAATTTTAGAAAAGATACTATTTAAAATAATAAAAAGGTACTTAGCAATAAATCTAACAACAGACATGCAAGATCCTCATGTAGAAAAGACGGTCTACCCTGGCAACCAAGGAAATACAAATTATATACCATTTTACATGCGTGCACACACATATAGAGTGGGGAAACTGTACGAGTTGGTCAGGTCAGAAGGTAGAGCATAAGAAACTACCAAATCTCATCAGTGGGAGGATCAATTTGTACAGCCACTGTGGAAAAGAACTCGGCATTGACTAGAAAAGCCGTACCTGGCCTCTATTAGGAGTATGCCCTAGAGAAATTATTGCATCTGTGAACCAGGAGATGTGCACAAAAACGTTCTCTGCAATGTTATTCAGAATCACAAGGACCTAATAACAACCTACATGTCATTATTAAGATGACTAAGTTATCATATATAACACAATGGAATATTATATAGCAATAAAAATACATAAACCACAGCTCCACTCGTCAACCTGACTTGGAAAAAAGAAAAAAGAGCTAAGAAAAACTGAAAAAGACAAAACCAAATCACACATTTTCTTAAAAATGTCTATAAATAAAATTCAAGATAGTGGTTTCCTCTGGACAGGAGTGGATCTAGAGAGAATGTGATGAGGGAAAACAACCCAAGGGTCACCAAAGTACTGGTGATGTTCCACTCTTTACCTGAGGGGTGGGCTCATGCCTGTTCATTTAATTATTTCCTCATTTCCTGGTATGTGTACATTATATACACACATGCTATAACACACGTTACATACATGTTATATTATAAAAATGAAACCTGCTCAAATCTCAGACTTTCATTTCAGTCTCTATACAAAAGTCGCATTTGAAAAAGCACAGTCAACACAGCCCTGAAAAATAATTTTTAGTGGAATTTAAAAAATATATGGCAGATTATAAAATAATCTGTAATCTCATTCTCAGGACCTCCTCTCTCCTGCTGGTCATCCGAGACCTAGATCAATGCTTAGAATATCTATTGTTTTCTCTGAGGAAACAAGTGAGAATTTTGAGACCTTTAGTCTTATTGGTTTTCCTCCTCGATGAGTAATTTCACATTCTTCTCAAACTCTATGGAAATCGAGGATTCTCCAGCACCAGACAGGGAACTCTTAATCCCAGGAGAGTGCTCAAATGGCCGTGACCTCAGGGGCAGAAGGTCCTGCAGGCTGCTGTTCTGTGGTCTCATCCCACGGGAAACTGCTCTAAAGGATCTTCTCACTAGAAATCAGCTTTATCCAGATTTTTATCGGCCATTGTCTACTCAGTATTCCTCTCTACACAAAGCCTCTAGAAGACAATTCACAGTGGGATCCCTGTTGATCTTTTTAATAACCACTCCAGCTATTTTACGGAATTCATTTGTCAAAAAATATACATTGATATCACATTAGATGGTAGGACCAATCTCTCTTGACCAAGGCTCATCACTGTCGGTCGGCAATGTCTCAGCTTATACCCAAGGGGACTTGGTAAATACTCCAGTGAGAGGGTTCATTTTTGAGCCATTTATAACAGTATAAGCAGTCTGCCCATTTTGTGTCTTTAAAGTTTCTCATGTTGCCTCCTGAGTTTGGCAATTGGGATTTAGGATACATATAATCCTTACTTCCCCCAGAATCATTTTTTCGTTTACTGTTATCACAACCTTTCGAGATTGAACCAATCTGTTCCTTCCCCAATCTCTCAAATCACTTTAGTTTTATCACCCAAGGTTCTCTGCATGTTTTCCAGCTCCTTCTTTTCTTTACTCATCATTATAATAAAGGCCAGCAAAGCTCACATGCTATATACTTCACTTATCTGAACAGCAGGACAAAGCTGGCACTAGTATCTCACGGCATGTGAAGAGAAGGTGCTCAAGTATGGGTGAGTCCCCAGTTCACAAAGTGGCCAAGGTTGAGAAAGTACTAGTGTGCTTATCTGGTCACTGGGCAGAGAATTTGTGTGTTCCCTCCCTGAGCAGAGTGAGAGCCTTTCACTAAATGGGCTCCAAACTCAAGCTGGATCACAGTCTCAACTGAGTAAGGATTATGGTGCTTGGTGTCTTTAGATGCTAAGGCAGAGGAAGAGGAAGAGGAAGAGAAAACCCTCAGAAGGGCCCATATTCCAGAAGACGAGCTAATAAAGTTATCTGAGGGATTTGGACAGGTGAAAGAAACAAGTGGCTTTAAAATATCAGAGTTATCTAAGAAAGTCCAATTTTCATTTCTATTTCAGGCACGTCAATACACCTCTGCAGGATAATGAAAAGGATATAAATGGAGTAAAAATATCACCACTGCAATCTCACGTTGAAAATGCATACATGGATATATGGCATCACTGTATAGCACTTCTGCCCTCTCTCTCTGGAGCTCTAAATTGGATTTGACCTTCTACAGATTAGTTTTGCCAATATCTGTAGATACTTTCGAACTAATCTTCTTATAATTTTGATTCTATATTTGAATATGTGGTGCCAACTCTTCTCAACCGTTCTCACTTCTGGGGCTAAAGCTGAAGATCTAATCATGAGACATACTACTGAGCTGACCTGAGAAATGGGCAAGGACTTAATGCTCTTAGCTGTAGACTACAGTTAATAGGATGGCAGGATCCACTTAGCACAAACAACCGAAAGCTCTAAAGAAAATGTGGTAAGGGGGGCAGATAATATCTACTGTCTATTAGTGGATAAATAGCTAAGAATTAGCAGAAAAGAGAGCATGTTATTCTTCAATATTGTTTTCATGAACAATTCTTGGAAATTTCAAAATGAATATTGTTAAATATGTTTCTAGAAAGGTACAAAGAGGTTCTGAAGCCACAGCTATATATGTATTGACATGAATTTTATACTCCAAATAAAATAAGGTATAAGTAATTTGTTTCATGCTAAGCAGCAGCCCCCTCCCCCCGCCACCAAAAAAATGAAGAAATGCTGGACTTACATTGGTGACATATTCTATATCCTTCCAAAGGATGCACTCCCTGGGGAAATCGGCCAAGTCTAAGAAGTGATCCACCACCACTTGGCCGATTAGGTCATGGCGAGAGAACCTGTCAAAGTCGTACACAGAGAAGTGAAGCTTCCGGGCTGCAAGGTCATTGTAGGGAACCGGAAACAAAAACACTTCATCAAACACAGGGTTCAGTGTCTTTCTGTGAACTTTAGTCTGGTGTTTCGTTTTCCGATCGGGAAGCAAATAGATCTTGACGTAAGGATCTGAAGTCCCAGAAAAGTCCTTGGCGGGCAAATTGACAGCTTTGTGAATCTTCACTATGAGCTGCTCTAAGTCACAGTCATATTTTAAAATGAAGTTCAGTTTCCCACAGGCTTTGCTGTTACTCCTTCTCCCATCATCATTATCCAATGACCTCTGCTTATATAACTCTGGTTTAATTCGACCAATTCCAGTCAACTGTTCCTGTTTTTGAAGCTGCTGGATATTGAAGTCTGGGTTTGACAGGTTGAGTTGTCTTCGGATTGAATTACGCCTTCAGTGAAGAGCAAGACAGAACAAAGTTATAACCTCATTAGCTACAGGTCTTTCAGAAACTTGTGCCTGGGATGTAGGCAGACTGTTAAGCATTGTCAATAGCTTAGATCTGTGGGCTGTTTTTGGTTGTTTGTTTGGTTGGTTTTGTTTTGCCTAAATTCAAAATGCTCATCAGTGTGAATAGCTGCTCCCCAAGGCTTGAGAAGTAGGAAATGAACTTACCGCATGTGACCTTGGAGCTTTAAAGGTTTAATGCACTTTTAAAACTAATATGTCATTAAAAAAGCTTTATTTGGCTGGTAAAATGTAAAGATTTGCTCAACTGGTTTAAAAATAAAATTATTCACTTTTAAATATAATATAATCCTGAAATTGAAATAGCTGTGTTTTCTTAAGAACAATAAATCTTTCTCTAAATTACACAGAATTTCCTGTCAGTGGCTTATAGCTTTAAAAGGATGTAAATTATTACTAGTTCACATCAAATCATTCATCACAAGAACACAGTTTTGCTTGTGTGAGAATGTATATGACAGGGTGTGACTGCTTGTAATGGACCACATTGGCTCTAACAGGTGCAAGTGACAGCTCTGTGATTTTGTTGCTGTTATACCACATAGGTGATCGTTGATCAGGAGGAAAGGTTTTAGTTCTGTAATAAACATTTTAGGTAAAAAAAAAAAAAAACTGAAGGTAAGTTACTATAAAAGTATACAAGATTCAGTTAGAGAAGGTTGGATACTGATATTTGTAAATTAAATATTTGCTTACAGAATCTACTCTTCACCCTATAAGCTTATCGGTTTGAGTTAGAAGTTTCCCAGAAATTCTCTTTGAAATGTGCATTATCTGGTGAGTCTTTACAAACTGAGAGTAGTCATTACATATAAGGTTGTTTCTAAGGCCAATTTTGTTTGTTTTTAGCTCAGAGTTCAGAGTCATTATACTGAATTCTTTGTAGTCTCTCAATAACTTTAATTAAAATAGCCTCTCTTCACCAAAAGGTCAAAGGGAACAGCTGAGCTGTCTCTGAGGGACTGGTTAATAGTTAGAAAGGCAGAGTAAACATTTGAGTTTGTATTCCTTTTCTTTCTCAAGACTATTTTATGAAATAAAGATGTAAAATGGGATTAATAGACCCTGAAACATGTTTAAAATTATTCTCCCTTGTCATACAGATGTTATTATGTTGAACATTCCTCTTCATCCTAAAATACATTCCTAGTCACTAATCACCCACATGGTACAAGAGCACAATCACAGAGCTGTCGCTTGTACCTGTCACAGCCAACACAGTCCACCATAAGCAGATACACCCCAGGCACATACATTCCCACATGTACAAAAACTGTGTGGTCTAAAGGTTTCTGTTGTGAGATTTTAATTTCCTTCAGAGAAATCCAAAATTTCAAGTTTTCTCTGTCTCTTATGATTTTCCAAGGGGAGGAAGAGAGTCAGGGGATGCTATTAAGCACCTAAAACTGGCTCTCTGTGCTATTGCCAGGTCATTCCCTTGTCCAGATATTGCACCTCTGCAGTGCTAAAATAGAGCCTTAGTCTTGCTCATTTGGGACCTCTGGGCAGAAAGGTCTGGCAGGGAGCAGCAAGTATCCAGCCCTATGCAGAGGCCGTAAAGGGCTGGTACCAGCTCTGGCTTTCTCCGTTGATTTTTCTCTCCAGGGTGGATTCAAACGAGGAACATACTGGGGTCTAAAGTCAGTTCCCATCTATGATGGACCATTCTGGGAGCAGTTTAGTGATGCTGTTTAAACACTAAAGGAGCTCCATCAAGACCCACCGGATGCCCATTCTCTGCAACGTCTGTGATGGGACACCAGTCCTGTGTCTACACCAGCCCCTGCCACGCTGCTGCCACTTTTCTCCTGAGGTGGTCGCTGAGCAGGCTCTCTGTGCATGACAACTTACCTTCATTTTTTTTTTTAGTAATGGCTTTAGATTCATCACAGCAACATTTTGTCTTAACCCTTATCTGTAGGATTAAGCCTGCCATTTAAACTTGTATTTTAAAATACATGAATTTGGCTGCTTAGCAATGGAACATATTCTGTTTTACTTGTATATTTTCTTAGACATGAAATTTGAAGAGAATTAAGTCCTACCTGCTCTGCTCTTCCTAACTGCAGTGGATAGCCAAGGGGTAGAGGGAGTGGACTAGGGAGAGAGTTATGAAGAGATTTGTACTTCAAAGACCAACACGGGATCCCATTCCCTGAGAACACAGTTGCACAGAATGCCTCTGTTCAAAATTGCAACGCGACAGATCTTTTTAAAAACCAAGCACAGACATAAATACTATTATCCACCCAAATGTATTACATGATGAGTTTCATTCTCGACACTTTTCCCTCATTCAGAATCACACTTACTATTGCAAAAACATTTGTTGTTTGTTCAACAAACAAATGTTTTCCAGTCAAATCCAACTGTAAGGTAGTGGCTTAAAGCAGAGAGCAAAGACTGTAACAGGCCAGGACAGTCCTCACTCTCTGGGGTTCTTTTTCAATCACTTTCACATTCTTTTCAGGAGAGAGTTAGCAGTTTCTGGAATTGGTAGGATAGATGAGAGAAGCTCATAGCAGCCAGAAAAGCTCACGGCAGCCAGAGAACTCATCGCCTCCCTGCATAATCTCTGCAGCTCTCTGGGCTGAGACATGAGAAAGTAGGGCAGAGAGGCTGCCCCAGGAACATGAAGGAGAAGAGCAGTGGAGGAAATGGAAAATCAATATTCCATGGTTCTCATAGGCTATTCACATGGAAGGTGGGAAGATAAGCAAGTCAAAAGCAAGAGAGAGGAAAGACACAGAACAGAAAGTTTTGTTGTGACCTGGCTCCCATCACCCCAGATGACGGTTCTAAAATGGTCAGTGAAGGTAACACTTGAGTGCAATAAAGTAGAGCCCACCTCCCCTTACATACAGGGTCTAGAATTTTAATGCAGCTGAGTGAAACTGAGTGAGTGTGACTAGGAGGGATCTGTGTATAAAGAAAGTGTAAGGGTATGACAGCTAACTGACTACGAGGGCAGGAAGAAATGGGACTCTGAGGTTTTCTTGTTCTCTGATGCAGAAGCTTCTAGAGTGAGTGAGATAATGAAGATACAGGCATCAGACTCTGGCCAATAGAGTTGTGTGGTCAAGTGCAGCTGGATACGCTAAGCATGACATGCTTTGTCCCATCCCCTCCCAAGTTAAACAGGTCTGAAACCTGGGTGTCATCTACAAATAGTTGATCCTCCATTACTAAGATGAGCCTTTCTCTAAAGTAATTCACATCTCATGCCTCTTTCCATTCTCACCACTTCCAACAGAATTCTGGCCCTTATCACTACAGAGCTGAACTGGCCCCCTGTACCAGTCTTCGCCCTGGCCCGGGCATCTTATACACTCTTGTAGATTCAATAATTTGAGCACTTCAATGTATGTAATTGGTGCTCTTCTTGTATATTTCCCCAACTAGACTGTGGGCCTTTCGAGGCTAGGACTATATATTTTCTCTCTTTATCGCAAGCACATAATAAAGAACTTTGCATACAGTAGATGTTTAATGCATATGTCTGGAGTAAATACATGAATGCCATGGACAAAATAGTTTCCGATAATTAAATCCAAGTAGAGAAAATAAACATTTACTTCTAGTTTCAGGGTCTCATGGAAGTTGATAGAGGTCTAGACAACTTGCAATTTTGAAGCCGTCAGTTTGTTAAAATCTGAAGAAGTAACTAAAAGAGTAATTTAAAAAACTGTTATGTTTAAATGTTTACATCTAACCAATGTTCTCAATACAGAAAAGTCTAGCTTAAGAGAAATGTGCTACTTATGGAGTAATTACAACATTTAATCCTAGTGTACCACTTATTGGAGTTGTAGCAAGTAATGGGACCCAAATTTAAAGTGCAATGCTTGTCTTTCAGTTTTGTTAGTGTATTTCTGTGACCCTATGAATTGCTTAGTTCAGGGATAAGGTCAAAATTCTAAGTGTAAGGCTCTTAATGAATGTGAGACCTGGGACGAATGGCCTTCCCCACCAGCCTCATACCATTATAGGCTCTACTCAGTTTATATTTTTCTCCCTTTGCCATTCTTGTCAGAACACGAGAAAAATGGCCTGATATTGACAAATGTGTTATCAGTCGTTCATGAAAAATGTCTGCTACGTGCCAGAGGCTGCACTAAGGGTTAAATGTACAGGGAGAAACAAAGAGGAGATGGTCTTTGAGCTCACAGAACTCATAGTCTAAAGGGGGTACAGGCGATAAACAAACAATCATTTAGTTAGAAATAGAGTTCAATCCCGTGAAGAAGTGGAAGCAAGGCAATGAGGGAGAGAATGAAGAGTGGGAGGGAGTAGAGGAAAGAACACATACTTCAGATAGGAAGGTCAGGGAGCCTTTCTAGGAGGTGACATTTTAGGTGGGAATGAAAGCTGCAAAGGAGCCAGGCATGGCGAAGAAAAAGGAAAAGCATTCCAGGTGAGGGAACAGCATGTGTGAAGACCTCAAGGCAGGAAACGGCCACGAATACTGACGGAACTAAGAGAGAGGCTAGTGTAGCTAGAGTGTGATTAGCTTTTTCCCGTAAAGCTTCCTACCGAGGCCATGTTAACAGTGTCCTCTGGTGAGGCTGACTGGTAACAGAAGCAGACTGTGGCAGTATCACACAGAGCCTTAAGAGACCTGATAAGGAGTTTGTGGTGTGTTAACTGAAATTTTTATAAAGTTTCAGTTAGTGGTACACTTGGATTAAATGACATAATTACTCTATGAGTAGCACAATTCTACTAAGCTAGACTTTTTTTTGTGTTGAGAGCATTGGCTAGATGTAAACATTTAAAACAAGGTTTTGAATTTTTTAGTTCTCTTTTTTCAGATTTTAATAAACTGACAGTTTCAAAAAATGGAAGTTACCTAGACCTCTCTCAACTTCCATGAAACCCTGAAACTAGAGGTAAATGTGTATTTTCTCTACTTGGATTTAATTATCAGGAACTATTACATCCATGGTGCTCATGTATTTATTCTAGATACATACAAGTTACACAGAAAATTTGAGAGGGCTTAAAAAAACAGATTGGACTTTCATCTTGGCACATAAATCAAGAGATTTATTAGATAGTCCTTCAAGGTTCCTTCTATTTTCAAGATGCAGGGATTTTCATATATTTGGAACAAAGACCTTTAAAATGTTCTGCTATTAAAAAATTCTGGAAAGAAAACCCCCACATTCTCAGAATATTAAGCCATTATACAAAAGAGATTTCATTCAAATTAAAAAGAATTAACCAGAATTTTGGAGGGTTCTAATAGTAACTGCACTAACTAGAAAGAGAATGCTAACATGGTTGATCTTGAAAGAACAACACAAAGTCATCCTGACCAGAAACAATCTTAGAAGATGAAATGAAGCTCATCTTTAGAACATTCCAGAAGGCACTGGTGAGAGCCACACATGTCCAAGCTGAAGAGGCCAGGAGAGGGTGAAATTTCCAACATAAAAGCAGTGACAGGAGTATGCCAATTGCAGTGGCAGTGGGGATGTCCTTAACTGAAAGCCTAAGTCTTGCTCTAGGCTGAGGAGGTGTCCTGCAGATTTGGAGAAGAAGTGAAAACAGCCACAGGAGAAACAGCAGTAAGAAAGTAAGTGACAGCAGTGAGAAAATAAAGAACAAAATGAGAAAGAAGGGAGAAGAAAGAGTAATTAGCAAAGCATACTGCTTAGAGCCATCTCAGCAAAAAGTATCTTCTCCCTTTCCAAATATGGCATCAGAAATATTACTTAGAAAAGAATGTTAAAAATGTTTTGGAGCATGAAGGAAATTTCACTCATTTGTCCCGTTTTGTCAGTAAAATGGTGTGTATGTGTGTGTGTGTGTGTGTGTGTGTGTGTGTGCGTGCGTGTGCACGCGTGCTTATAACACAATCCCTGAAGAATTAGAAGACCATACACCATTCTTATTATGGTAAGACCATGGAGTCAAAGACATGTATTTCCAGACATAACCCATAAAACTAGGTCAGCACTAATCTAGATAAGAATGTTTTAAATACCTAATGATGCAAATTATCAGTATTAGGCCAAATGCAGATGGAAAGAGTTTAGTTTTTTCATGGTAGTTCAGATGGTACTAAATTTGTTTTAGCCATCATAAAAGAATTTAATTGCATAACCCGAAAACTAAAATAAATCTAAACACAAATACATTTTACAGGGATAATTTCCTCCATCTTCTCTTTTTATTTTTTTCCTTCCTAATTTTCACAAATCAGTAGTAAAGATATCTTTCTTATTTTGAAATAAAATATACTTCTTGATATGCAGAGTACTTACACATTTTGCCAGAATAAATATTGTGATAATTATAATGCTATGATTGCTATCAATTCATTAGAATTGTGGCAGAATCCTCAGATCTATAATCTAATAAAAGCACAGGTATTATCACCCTGTACTGATGCAACCCAGATCAGAAAAATTAACACGCAGAGTAAAACCAAATAGGAGACAATCTCAATGGAGACTCCATCTCAAAGGCTCCAATTACTGAAGTCCGAGAAGATTTTATTATGAGTCTGCACCGCTGCACCAACTCCACAGCAGCATCAAAGAGAGCTCCAGTTAAATTTAAGTGTTAAATCTGACGAGAAACCTAGCGATAAAATCTGAGGATTTCTTCTAAATCAAATGGCAAACAACCATCCATTTCCTCACAGAGGAATATTTTAGGTTTAGCACTTTGATTCAGAATTGGAAATGATGCTAAAATAGGTTTCTGAAAAAATTAAATTATAAACTGTCATATTCCATCCTACTTAATGTGAATGAGCAGAGCCTCTAGGATAAACGCGATTAACATAAAAAAGGGTAAAATCTTATTTCTGTTTCCAGAGAACAAATAAAAAAAGATTTAAAAAAATGCCCCCAAATTGTTCACATACTTTTCAAATAACAGCACAAACTATTCCTCTGGCTGTCGCTCAAGCAAATATTTTCATTTATAGAAATATTCCTGAGTCTCTTTTCCTAAAGTTTTATATTCAATGATTCAGAATTGGCTGTTTAACCTCAAAGTCACCTTTATGCAACATCTGAGTCTTGCAAGAGGCCAGTCTCAATGATAATCATGCTGATAAAAGCAATACTGAAAGTAAAATGGCAGCTCAGGTTTTGGAATAGTTACTAGGTGCAGGCTTGTGCAAAGCCCATGATGTCCATGTTACCATTTCACTAAACGGTAGCACCGATGTAAAACCACCTCTACATCGGTGCTATCACTATTCCTCTCTTATAGAAAAAGAAGAGAAACATACAGAGGTTAAGTAACGTGTCCAGTATCACGTATGTAAGTAAAGCCAGTTCATCGGATCCCAGAGCCCCTGCTTTTATCACTGTTCTACATTATTTCTCCACTGCTGAAGAGCAGAAAGCATCCAGCCACAGAAAGAAAGTGACCCTAGACCTGGGCACTCTGTTGGCCCTGCAAAGGGTAGAGACAAACAAAGACCTCCAGCCACTCTGTGGGGTGTAAAGAGAGGCTCTGTGTGACAGCCAGGCTAGGTCAGAGGCACAGGGGATAAACTCCACAGCACTAGGAGTGGTTAAAAATTCAGGCTCTGGCATTGGTTGAACCAGAGATCAAACCCTGATCTGAGTGCTTACCAATATAAGATTTTGTTATTTAATCTCCTTGAGTTAAGTTTCTTCTGTGAAATGAAAATGACAATAGGATCCATCTCACACAAAGTTGTGAGCTAAAATAAAATAATGCATATAGAATTCTTAGAACTTGACATGGTAAATTTTAGCAGTGGTGACTACTATTATGAACCAAGCAGAAACTAAGCAGAGCTCAGGAACTTCTCTGGAATAGAGGAAGCACCAAGTTTTCCCATATTCATGCCTCTGATACTAGATGGATGTGTGAAAGGTGACAGGTTCCCTGGATACTCAGTGCCATTGCTGCTGAGAGAGGGGGACAGGGTGGTCCTTGCCTTGCATTCAGAAAGGAAGGAGGCATTACTGACCGAGTTGATGAGGTTGGCTCTGTGACTTGGCGTTGCACGCGGACGCCATGCGCACAGTTCTCCTGGCCCCCCAGCTGGGTAGAGAGGGGAATGTCAGGGGAGGTGTGGCTGATCTTCATGGAGGAGTCAGGGCAGGGGCTGGGAGGGTCTAGGAAGCCCTCACTGTTCTCTTGCTCATTGGTCTCTGTGTCCGTGTTAAGAGGCTCCTGGTTGTTGTCTTTGCTACCAGAGAACAGGCCTCTTTCTCGCCACGGAACCCAGCAGAGTTTCCAAGACACGAAGAGAGACACGCCAAAGAGAGCGAGGCCACAGGCAGTGACCACAAGGGTCAGCAGGCTCACTGAGATATCTGCAAAGAAGCAAAGATCAAAGGTCAGTATGACTGCCCCCTCAACTCCGTGCCCACCCATTGCACAGCACAGACAGAATGACCCTCTCATCCATTTATCCCTCAGGAGCCGGCTGCAGAAGGCCAGGCTGGGGATGTCACTGGGTCACCTGATTCTGAGGCACCAACAGTGAAGACCTGGACATAAATATAGAGGACGTAACATGCAGGCTGTGTTTAGAAACAATAAACATATAACAATAAACATATAGCAAGAGACAGGGTATATCCAGCGAGACTAAGAAGGCCCTGCGAGTCACCGAGACCTTATCCCATAGCAACACAAATCATTAATATAGTATGAGCAGGGCAGTTTTGACTGTCCTTAAAAAGTCTTCTGTCATCTGAGAGAGCTGTAGAACCATTTAAGTAACAACTTTTTAAAACAAGAGAAACAAGAATGTGGTTTTGGTTTTGTTTTGTTTTTGGTATTAACTTTTAAGAGTCTAAGCAAAATGAAGCTAAAATTCTCTGAAGCCTCAAGAATACTCACAGCCCAGTGGTCAGGGTGTCTAGGACCCAGGGACAACTGTCCTACTTTGGGTTTCCCAAGCAGCATAACTGAGACAAGTGTTCAAGGGCAAGTGGTTTATCGAGGAGGTGAAGAAAACACAGGTGTGGGAGTAGGGAAACAATCCAGGGAAGGAAGCCAGTAAAAGGAGCTTTCTCAGGCCAGTTACCACAGTGATGGACTTGAGGGTAAGCCTGCTGGGGAGGCTCTACTTACCTAGAGTCTCCCCACCCCCGGGCCCAGGGCCATGGGCTATTTATAATATCAGCTGCCTTCAGTCATTGATTTGAGGGCAGCTCTCAAGGGGCATTTCCAACCTGCAGCACAGGTAGCAAAGTAAGTTTCAGTGGCCAGAAAGATTCCACATTCAAATGAATGCAAGGGCTGGCCTTTAGAGGTAAAGGAAAGGAGATGGGGCAGGGCAACAACAGCATCTGCTACCAGGACAGCGGCTCCATGGCCTCAGCTGGGATCCATGGCAGTGCAGTGTCCAGTGGCTGTGCTCCTAATGCTCAGAACAAAGCCTGCAGTCTTTCATCCCACCCTATAGTAGAGCCTGGGAGGCTGAGGTATCAACTTGAACTCAATCCTGGCACCGTGGTGACTGTAAACCCCTTGCTTTAAAGAACACTCCTAATGCTCTTACTACGGTCCACTATATTCAGGAGCTCCAAGGACTCTCCCCAGGTTACACCTTTGATGCCCATCATTAATATTTACACTGCTTCAGCCAGTTTTCTGACTACTCATACATGCCAGGTACTATGCTAGGTTTTGCGGATATAATGGAGAACATTACAGACACATTTCATACCTTCAGACACTTATATTCTAGCGACAGAAAATTATTAGAAATTAGTTAATAGTCACAATTTAAACTATCCACAGCACGCCAACAATCTGTGAGGCATGACAAGTTGTATTTCTCCTGAGGCATGCATGTGAACCCTTCCTGCAAATCATTTATCTACTGAGTCAAGCTGACCATCTATTATCCATGTGTTTTTCAACATGACTCTGAAGGTACCTGGTCCCTCTTATGAAACGATAAAACAGTTTTTTCATGAAGAATTGCTCTTGACAGAAAGCCAGCTGTCGGGGTTGGTGATGGATCTAATGTATCTCTAATCAATCTCTGCCCTCGTGGTGAAACATTATTATATCTCTGTTCTAAAAACACTGGGATTCCAGTTTCAACTTGGGTAACTGAGTCCAAATCTTTGCCACTTTTCACTCCTCAAGTCCCACTAAAACGGGATAAGCAGACTACATAACAATGAAAAACAAGGATGGGTACTATCAATCCATCGGTGAACCAGTAACATTGAGAAATTTCTGGAATTGTTTTAAAGGAAAAGCTAATCAGTGCTGGACACTTAACATAGGCAAATGAAGGGATACCAAGGGGAAAAAAAACCTGGGTGCAGAGCAACAAGGGCGGGGAGGAGGAAAGGAGGTAGTCAGTGAGGACAAAGTAAATAGCACTAGAAAGAATCACCCCTCATAGAGCCCCAACATGAGGCGGGGGAGCACGGTTTGCTGCAGGCTCCACCTGGTTCTGACAGCTCACACAGTAGAGTGGAAAGTTTGTTGGTGTGACTTCTATGATAGGTGGTAGTGCTGGGGGCGCAGGTAAAGAGACCTGGTCGCAGTCAATTAGGCTGCCACAGCAAACATAAACCCCCACGCAGTCCTCCAATGAAATCTAAAAACAAAACAGTTTCTGCACCACAATGAAATCCCTTAATATGTTCTGTAATCCAAATGGGGCAAAACTCCTTCCCTACATCTTATTCATTACTCTAGCACCATTCTGAAACAGACATCACTAGGAGGCCACCAGCATTGGCTAAAGAAGGGGTATGCCAGAAGCCAGTAGGGTTTAGAAGTGTGATGTGGTAACTATTTTATTATTTACCCAATATTCACTCTCCCCCACCACAGGGCCCCGCCCTCCAAGGGAGAAGCAGAAACCCCTATTCCCTGATGTTGGTCTTGGCCATGTGACTTACTCTGGACAATGAAATGTGAATAGATATGACCCATACCACCTCAGCCCACAGGACTCTTGGGCCCCTGTCCTCCACTGTGAGAAGAAAAGGTCTCATCATATAAGAGCTGACCTTCCAACCTGGGTGCCATCCTGGGATGACTGTGGTACAAAGTCCAGAATAAGAAGTGAACTTAAACCTGACCCACAGACTGGGACAGAACTGCAGCTGATCCACAGATCCATGAGCAACACCTGAATAGTCAATGTTTTAAGTCACTAAGGTTTTGGAGATGTTTGCTGCCATGGCAAAAAGTTGACTAATGTGCACGACTTATTATTTATTGTCCAAGGCTGGGACACTTCTAAAAGGGCAAAGAGGTGATATTAATAATTACATGGAACAAGAGACCTCACCCAGGATTTCGAAGGTAAATCAGGACATATGGCCACTCTGAACTTAAGAATCACACCTAAGCAATCTCAGTTTACTTGGCATAGACAACGTGCTAAATAAGCTTAAGCCTGGGCCCACTTTGCTAGAAACCACAGGGCCCGGACCCAGCTCAGGAACAACTCCAGCCTGTTTGTTGGCTGCCAGCTCATGTACCCAAAAAACAGCTTGCTCACAAGTCTAGTCATGGGGCATCCATGAGAGCAGGGATCTCATCTATCTCAGCATTGAATCCCAAGCCTCTAAGAGTGCTTGGCACATAGTAGGTATTGAGTAAATGTTTGATGAAGGCCACCTGAGGAGCACTGTAGCCACCCGCTGTTTATCATGAATTATAGTGTGGCCTGTAAACTCCAGGAGGTGCTAGTCACATGCATAGTCATTATAGATTTTTTTTGTACATTGGAGTTTTTACAGAAAACTGACAAGAATGGCTTTTCTTATTCATACAAAAGAGCCACGTGGGTTAACAGTGGGCCAGGGAACACCTGCCAAGAGACCAATGTTGACCTGCACAGCCATACCGACCACTATGCATAATCAACTGGACTTGTGTTTGCAAACAGCTCAGGGTGCCCTCTACACACTACATTCGTGCTTCTCTCTCATTTTTCAGAAAGAAGTGCTGAGCGAACTGCTGTGGAGCCACTAAGGCCAAACAAACTACCTACCTGATACTCATGACCTCAGAAAAGGGAGAGGGAGATTCCCCTTAGAATCACAAAATAGCTTTATTTAGAAGAGAAGTTATTTCTTCAATTAGTTGGTCATTTATTTTATTACTGATCTTTAACTACATATATTCACTATATATACTCTTTGGCCTTCACGGTATATTCCATGATAAAAATTGCAAAAAAAATAGTGACATCGAAAATTATTACTCTAAAGAGAATTTTTCCAAAAAAATAGGAAAGTGTAATTGGTCCTTTTTGTATAAGGCTCAAGAGAATAACCAGATAGAGATTCAGGGATAAAGGAAACAAAAGGTAACCCAGGTATGATCCAGAGCAGGGATGTGTTACTGTTTGTGGGTAACTGCATGAAAGTGTACCCAGAGCTGCCAGGAAGTGCCTCCTCCGAGGGGAGAAGTGGAGTGGAATGCCCTGCAATCAACTGGATCACCAGAACCGTCATTTACCGCTACTAGCCCTAGCCACAGGACGTGACGTATTGTGGCAACATCCCTGGACACCAGATACAACACACAGTGACACCTCCAGATTCAGCAGACATCCCACCTGGATGCCTACAATTCTAAGGGATCCCTACAAGCCTAAAGACTTATTATGAAATGGTGAATATTATTGTCCAATGAGTGAAAAGCTTGAGCACCCACACATTGCATATAGCCAGAGGAACAGTAGCTGCCCTTCTAAATTGTGAAGGGCCAGAGAGAACATGTAAATGGACAACCAAAGAGAAGTCAGGGGACAAATGGGAAAAATTATCAACTTAAAAGAGGCTAATCAAGCTGAGCCATCAGAATAAATTGCTCTTGACATAAAACAAATTAGTGCAAGAGGCAAATTAATTCGTGTACGGAGTGAGATGTTTAAAATAGTGGCTAAGAGTGAGAAGTATGGCTGTAGCAGTAACCACAAGCAAATATCCTTGAGATTCCACCTGATCCAAGGAAAGGAGATTGTAGCCCTAGAATTCCAAAGCCGGCCACATGATCACGAGGGGCAAGGAAAGGCATTTTCAGTAGTCAATGATTCGGAAAACATACTATTCATATACTCTCTCCTGCATAAAACCTAAAGAAATTCTCAAACAAAAATTTATGTCAGAATAGAGAACCAAGGAGGGGAGAGCATACTACATAAGATGTATACTTACATTCTTTGTATCACAGGAATTAGTGATGAGCAAAGAAAACAGTAGAAAGGGTACTGAATCTAAATAATGCTGGTTAAGAGATTGTGAAGTTTAATGTAACATGAAAAAAACACTCAAGAGTAAAGGCATGATTACTATGCACACAATTAAATTTTAACAATTTC